TAGTATATTAATAATTAATATATGATTTACCATATGAAGTATTGAATACTTGATTGTGTGCATAAAACTATGCCTATTTTTTTCATAACATTTTTGTTCAAAATTGTGTCATAAATATAGTTGTTTGCGGAGTTTTCAATAATTCTCAAATCCTTGACCCATATTTTTGACAACCTTTAGGCCCTTAATATTTACCGCTTATTTTTCCATTTTTGCTTTTATTGTTTCTTTAATCAAATATTTTGTGCAGGTTAAGCAGTATCAAAACAAAGCGTTTTTACTAGAAAATGAAAATGCATCATTAAAGAGAAAAATGGAGTTAATAGAAAGTGAAAACAAGAGATTAAAATCTAATGTAAGTTTTCTTGTTTTTCTTTTTCGTTCTTATTGAAATTAATTTTTTTCCATACATCTTATTTAATAAGATTTGCTAAAGTATTAATACTAAATAAGTTTATTACATAATTACATTTTTATTATCAGTTAAATATTTGTTTTAATGAACAGTTGAATGCCAAAGAGAATATGCTCAACCAAGCTTCAGCCGACAAAGATTTATTAAAACAAAAATACAATTCGAAAATTGTCAAAAAGCAAGAACAACTGTCAAAAGACTTCAAAGATAAATGGAAAGTCCAAGAAAATGAATTTGAAGTTAGTGTACATATTTTTGTTGCTTTTATATAAAAATAGCATAACCAATAAAAAATGTATCATAATTGTATTAATTATTAATTTTTTTTTAAGGCCAAATTACAAGAAAAGAAACGCAAACTCCGTCATATCAAGAATATCGTTGAAAGCACAGAAAGTATTCCGAGTCAAGTTAACAGTCGGCGTACTCTAAAGCGAACATTGTCTGATGAAAGTTTTACTAAACCAGAAGAGGTCAACAAGCCCATTGCACAAACACCTAGCAAGGTAAATTCAACTAATATTAAACTATTTGTTTCATTTTATTAATATATTTGTAAATATAGCCTTCTCAAGCTACTTTGCGGTATCTTCGGTCAAGAAGATCGAAATCTTGTGATCCACAAGAACGTTGGCTAGAGCACATACCTCCAGTTCCTGTTCCATTGCAAACTGTTATGCAACCGACTATGAGAAAACGAAAGTCTATCACTAAACTGACGGACGCCAAAACTGTATCCAAAACCGATGCTTCTAAATATTGTCTGTTAACACAAGGACAAGATGACAATGGTATCCTAGAAGCAAAACTTTACAAGGTATAGTTACTGTTTTTCTAAAATATTTGTTTAAGTAAAATGTTTTAATTTATAAATTTAACGTTCAAGGGCGATATCATTCAAACTACCGGCGGCGGAGCTCAAGTTGTTTTTAACGATGTTGAAACTTTGAAACAAGATTCTCCTTTAGGCGGCTCACCAGTAAAAAATCGCATACAAGCGTATAACGAAGAAATAAAAGCTCATGCTTCAGACGATCTTCAGTCAAGATGTTACGGTATACAGGGTTGTCCACCAAGTTCGAGAAAATAGAACACTAATTGCAAACCTTATTCACTTTGCAATAATGAAAAATTATTGTTTTTATTATACTCTTAACTCTAACAGTTAATTTTTTTAGTGGTTGGTTTAACTTGAGTTAGTCTTAAATTATCTTAGATTTAAACCAATCGCTAAAAAAAAATATCTTTCTAATTTTATGTGTTTATGATTTATTTATAATTTTAAAACAATGACTTATTTGTACCTAATCATATTTTTTATTAACCTTTTTTTTTAAGCAAAACTGGTATCTGTGATATACATCAATTTGTAAGCTTTTCCTTGTTTTCAATTTATTTATTGAAACTAAAGCCACTGGTTTTTTTTATTTTTAAAAAAATGTGAAGCCAATATTGAGAGAATAACATTAAAATTTAATATGCAAATTGTTTTTGTGTATTTATAATGTAATATTAAACCACAAAAATGCATCACAGTTTTTAGGTGTTTTTTTTCTCACTTAAATAATTCCAAAAAGGCACCGATTTGCTCATAATACAGTATATGTGTGTGTTTATAATAATAAAATTTAATTTAGTTTAGCTAAATATGTATATATATTATTTATAAATAAAGATATTACAATGCATGTATTATTGCAACATTCCAAAAAAAAAAAAATACCTATATATTCCTTAAAATTATTCAGATTATTTAATAATAATAATTTAACCTTGTATTAAACATTGTGTACAAAGTGGTAATTGGCAAGAATAATGGAACAACTGATTATAAAATGATTATATTCTGTATTTACATAGTTTCAAAGAAAACACAATAATAAAATGAATTAGACTTTTTCTCATGTCATTTCTACAATATAACATTTGGAAAAAATACATTGATGTTAATAACGCAACACCAGGCGCAGTATGTATTGGTTATTGAGCCAAATTTTATGTATCAAAATCATTTTTTACCTGAAGATTAAATTAGTGTGTATACCAACATTCCAAAAGATTTAAGTGTAAGCTACAAAACTATAAGTATAATTAATTGGTGACTTAAATGTACTGAACATTTAAAAATATTTATCTGCACTAACTTCCCAACCGCTTTTCCCCTCCTATCCTAACTTTTAAAGTCTTATAACTTTAAAAATAGTTGTTCAATACTGGTTATCAACCAGTCAACATTTTTAGTAGGTATATTTTTTTAAAAATTTAAAGTTAATGAAGTGTATCTGCAATCGATAAACATTAAAAAAAAATTTAAATAAATAAAACAATTTTTTTTTGGTATAAACAGTTATGATTCAGAAATTGAAATAAAAAAAATTACCTCCTCGCCAATATTAACGAAAAGAATTTGTTCAGCAGAATAATTGCAAAGAGCTTGGCCGAATAAAAAGCAGAAGGCGGACTTATGTGAGGAAGTATTTAAAATTATCAAATAAAAAAAGATCAAACTGGATCATTTGATATTATAGGGCAAAATTTTACCCATATAAATTAAGAAGTTTGCCGAAAGATATAAAAATAATTATGGGAAAATGTCCTTTATAGTCCAGTTACATATCCCGTTTGTATGTATTGTGACCAACCACTGTACCTAAACTCACAAAATTCAAGAAACACATTTTATAAGCTGCCGATTACTTTTAATTGTGACCATTTAAATAGTGTTTTATGCATTATACTTAGAGGTATCAGATATTTTCATATTTTATGCATTGTTCGATTCTTGGCATTGTTAGATTTTTACATTTCCATTTATTATTAGCATTAATTTTTTGACAAAATAATATTAGAAGAACTCTATGCTGGATTTTAAAGTTAAAATGTATATTTATTTTATTTAGCCACAATACTTCATAATTTTTACTCGAAGACCATTTTTTTTTTTTTTGCAGAAAGAACTAATGAATCAATTTGACAGTATGGTTTCAAAACTAGTAGTGGGTCAAAATAGACACAAACTCAGTCAACTGCATTCCGACACCTGTTTGAAAAAAAATGAAAGATTGCGGAAACGTATTATACTGCACGAAAAGGAACTTACCGCTATGTACCAAACGCTATTGGAACTATTAAAAGAACAGACTGAAATGGTTAGACTAAACCTAATATCTAAAACAAAGGTTTCAGTATTGTCTAACCACTTGAGCATGTCTCCTATTATTAAGAGTGCTACTGCCGCCGAACAGACCCCAAAGCTACATAAAAGATCTTCCAGCTTAAGAGGCTCGCCTCAGCAAAAACTAAGTTCGGAATCTTTTGCGAGGTTAAAAGATGTTGCTCAATTGTTGAAGAATTCTAAATCTGTTCACAATGAAAGTTCGCCAAAACAGTTAGTTCTTGCGAAGAATTAAGCTGGCAGTTTCAAGAAATCAAAGAGCCTAGAAACTCCATTAATAATAATACAGAAATTCCTAATAGTTCAACACCGAAGAAAAATGAATCCTTCGCTAATGATTTTAATAGCTTAAACGCGTCTGTCAGTAGTACAAGTATTTACCATACACCTAATTTTTTATACGAAAATGATAATACTTCTAACGGTAAAATACTTACACCAGACAGTAGTATTTTAAAAAAACGTTACTCGTGGTAGAAAAAAAAGTCGAAGATCTGCTCTGAAGTCAACGATTCCATAGCAGTTCATAGGACAAGAAATGCTACGTGTAACGTGAGTTATAAGGAGGCCAACCAACAAACAAAACTTAGAAGCACTAAATAAGCATTAATTAAAAGTTTAAATTATTTAATAGATTAGAGAAATTTTTAACATTAAAAATTATATGATATTGTATTTCATTTATATTTAAAAAAAAAAGTGTATTTATGTTTTACAAGTTTAATTAGGTATTAATGTACTGATATCAATAGGTTTAATTATTTAATAGATAAACTTTGTATACATTAATTTTAAATTATGCGACTGTAAAAATTAACTATTAATTATTAATTGTAATTTGTGTTTTTTGTAAAATTATACTTGAATTCCTCAACATTCCATTTGAATTTTGATTCTTAAAGTAATTCGTTATCATTTTTTCTTCAATTGCTGTAAATTTGTAATTGATTAAAACAATTAAATTTTTATTACAAAATTTTCAAAAAATCGTCATTAAGTGAAATTATCATTTTTATCTTATTTATAATTACAACAATCGTACAATTAGCTTAGGCTGTAACTGTGTAAACACATTATTCAAATAACCTAATGATAAATATTTTATTTAATACTATACTATACTATTTTACAAGATTTTTGCTACTTAAATAATTACATTAAATATATAGAAATTAGATAATCTAATATGTATCAGGTATCTAGTAATTATTTTATAACATTAAAAAAAAATAAAATGAACTAATACTAAAATATTTATTAAAATTATAAGCCATAACAGCTAGTCCATAATATCTTTCAACATTGTTAAATATAATTATAGATAATTAAAAATTTGTATTTATTATACATTTTTTTTAAAAATGATATAGCAATATGTGAAAAAATTAATAATTTTGTTTTCAAATACTAAAAATACAAATATTAGATATGAGACATGTGAAATTATACTAATTTTATTTTCAAGAAAATTTGAATAAGGTATTGAACAATAATATATTTTGAAAATTTTACATTGAACTGTTTGTAAATTGGCTTGGATGTTCAGAGTGTACTGTCCATATCTGTCCAATAAATTTCTATATTGAGTTTCTAATTCGTCAGTATAATTTTGACATTCGAACATTTTGCTTTCCATTCTCGATGAATATATATTATCTCTAATTGATTCCAATTAACAAATTAGTTCGCTTAGTGGAAAAATTGAAACATCTTTATATACTGTGAAAAAATCACACTCTGAGGCCAAAAAATGAATTACTTATGAAGAGTTTGGTAAAAAAATTAACGTAGAGCCTAATGGAAAATAAAAACATCAAAGCTCATTTTCCGAAAGTTGCAAAAAGTGAGATTGGCCTTTTTAGACCCAAGTCACAGATATATATTGTAGGTAAAATACAAAACGTATCGACAAAAAAAATGTATAATTTATAGATATAAAGAATAATTGTTTATCTAGAAAATAGCTAAACCTAATAACATTTTATACTTACAACCTCATTAAAATTAGTGCATAACAATCTATGTAATATCATTTAATTCCAATTGTAAGTTTTTAACATAATAATTTTACAAGAATAATACAATTAATTATACATGAAGGTAAAATGGCAGAATAAAGTCATGTAACAAACACTGTAGGTGCATGTTATAAAAGTTATTACATGATGTGAAATATCAATTAAATTTCTTAAGAATAAGAAAACAATCTAGACAAAACAAATTTAAATTTCTACATGAATATATTGGATATTATTATGTTAGTGAACAGCAGTAAGTTAAAAGAAAAAAAAAACTTAAAAATATTTACTGTATATTAACTTTAATTTAAAATTGACTATTTTGTGTTAAAAATAAATCTTCATGTCATGTTTGAAATAACATTTCATTTGAGAAAAGTTTATAGTGTAAATTAATCATAAAGGGAAGCATTAGCTAAGTTATAGTATTTTGAAAAAAATAGTTAAGATTGTAATAAGAAATAAAGGTATAAAGATGTTTTGTTAAAAAAATAAAATAAATGAATATAAAAGTAAGAATGTAAAATATGCTTCTTAAACTGATAGTCAACACGATATAAAGTTTGTCAATTAACACTATAAAGAGATTTGTTCAATAGAGTACCTTGCGTAATACAATCTAAGATCCATTTTTCATTTATGTTGGAGCCCGTTTCCGGAGTACTCCCTACTACAACTTTGGCTGCACTCGCATCGCTAATACAATATCCACCACAAGATCGCACGAGTCGTTTAAGGTCTTTAGCCGGTGGTTCACATTTGTCTGAAATGTATATGCTTCCGGCACCATCAAATATGTGGAACGTCAATAGGGAACCAAATGTATTTTTCTGTCTTTGGAATGCCTACAAAAAATGATGAGAATGATTTTATAATTATTAACAACAATATAAAAGTTTGAAAACAATTACCTTGACCGGATCAGAGAGGTCTGAAATTAAATATTTGCAATGAGGCAACCATCTTTTTTGTTGGTGAGACTTGTGTACCTGAAAAATGTAATAAAACCAAATTTATATTATAATATTATTTTAAAAATTGATATTATCACCATAAATGAAATCAAAGAAAATATTGAAATGAAAATGTTGAGATAATTGGTAAGTTGGCAAAGTGAGAACATTTTTTTGCTTCTGTTTATATGAGGCCACCAAAAGGAAAGTGTACACACCCGTTATTTTCTTAAAACAACTCGCCTTGCGCGGAATAATTTTACAAAGGCTGTAACCAAAAATAAGAAACCAAACTTTCACATAATATAGACAACAACATTGTCTGTGTTCTACCATCGCCCTTTTTTTAATATTCCAACCAGTTAATGAATAATTAATTAATTAAGAAAGGACTTTTTCAAAAATGATATAGCGTTAGTTGTATTAGGTATATCAAAAAAATACGAATGATGTAACACAGATAATTTTGTCATAAATAATATGTACGAATTTCTTACCTTAACTATATATGAAGCCTGAGAAAAATTAATCCGCGTAAAACTCAATTCAACAGAATTTTTTTTTTAAATCGCTGTCAAGGATGCTGTGATAGTCCGAAAAGTAATGTAACTACTAAAAAAGAGTCCTAACTACTGAACTCATAGTTACACATCACAGTTTAACCTTTAAGTTAAGATTTTGTGAAAAATTGCCTATACTTTACTCCTTAAAAATAGGCGGTGTGGCGTCCTCTTAAGAAATAAAAATTAGTTATAAACAATTTATAATACTATTATTAACATTTAGAAAAAAATGTTGTTATCTGACAAAAAAATTAGAATGTCCTAAATTAATATTTTTCCTATTTATTTAGCAGATTGCCAAGCATTTTTACATAATATAAATAAACAAAGTTTTGTTATCAGGTTAATTCAGGGCTGAGGGAAAACATACTATTTAATAAAAAATAAATTGTGAGAGTAAGTGGGTAAAAGATTAGAAGTATGTTAATAGAAAAATGTGAAGAAAGGATTCGTCTGAGCAACCCCACTTATAAGGCGAGAAGGTACTAAAGGAAATAGTTTCGTTTATTAGTATTGTCTATCATTAAAAAATAAAAAAGTTTACCCATTCTTCAGAAACGATGTAACAACCATAGGCCATAGCGTAAACCATGTTCAATGTCCGATTGGGTTGACATTTAGTTATTAGATATGTTGTTGATGGTTCCACTTTACTCACAAAAGTGAACTTTCCTAAATTCATCACAGTTTGCTTTATGCTTTCGACTTCACTGTTTAAAATAAAAAAATAATAAAACTCATTAGAAATTAAATAAAAATAGGTAACTTGTATGTGTGTTCAACTACATAGAAACATATATATATCAATTAGAAATAAATAACTATAATAAACAAAGGTAGATCACTATAAGAAATTGTGTACACCAGATTACCAGAGATTTTTAAGACTACTAGAGATGTACTACTAAAGGTGTGTACTGATTACCAAGTACTGTTTACTCTCTGATAATGATTAAAACTGAATAATAGCATTTTGAAATTTTTTTTGTTTGGAGAAAAAATTCAGAGAGCATATTGTAGATATTCAATTTTGTATTCAATTACCAAAAATGTATAGTAAAAGATTTAATACTTATGAACTCATAATATTTTATAGCCATAATCATGACTATAAAAAACAGAATATTTGAAAATCAGATATCAAGCGCATCCTTTTTCCTGTTATGTAATTTCTCACAAATCAAATGGCTAACAATAATAATAATAAAAAAATGTTAAATATTTTCTGTAAATTTTTATGTTAAAATATATTTTAAGGTTTCTAATAAAATATCTAGAGTTTAGTGTTAAAAACTGCACCAACCAACTTGTAGGGAAAAAAAGTAAATAAAGAATATAGTCTTATACTAAAAACAGAAACGTAATTTGATTTATTTCGTTTTATACTAAAATACTACGATACCATATTAAAGTAGATTTGATATTGTTCCTATCAGCATTGAGCAAAATTTAAATAAAAAATAAGAAATTGTTTGAATACTTGTTTTACGATAAATAACCATTTTTTTTTTCACATTAATAAACTTAATTGGAACTTAGCGAATAATAAATAATTTGTTTATTTATTTTTTATAGAAAACCTTAGTCAATGTTAAAGTTATTTAAAATATATTTTCGTAATTATAAAAAAATGTGTTTTTAATTCTAAATAAAAAATTAACTTAAATAATATTTTTATTTATTTATAAATATATTTTAATAACTTTTTTAATTAAAAAAATTTAAAATCTTAAGGCCAAATAGCGTTTTCGGGTTAAATGTCAACCCACCTTATCGACACAAAATCAGTGTAATTTCGAAAGAATGATATTAGAGTCAAACAACAAATATTCGTAAATAATATGTTTGAACGAATAAAATAAATGATAACTTTTTATTTATTGCTTCATAAAGATAAAAAGTTTTTTGTATAATGCTCAACTATGCGTTTATTACTTTTAACCTAATAAAATGTTTGTAAAAATGGTATACCTCTTCTTCATTCCTGTACAGGCTATTGATTGAACGCAAATCAAACTAGCAATTGATTCCTTTGGCGTTTGAAAAAATATCGACGAGTCCCTGGACAACCAGCTGGTGAGTTTTGATTGTTTGTCGTCTTCAACTTGAGTTTTAATTTTTCTAACTTTTTTAGGCCGCAAATCCGAAGGTATATTCCATTGTTTAATCATAGTTTTAGACATATTTTCTTTTGGAGTTTGTTCTTTTTCTTTGTTAGAAATATTGTTCTCTTCGACAATTTTGCTAGTTAAAGTTTTAAACGGTTTCTTTTTACTAGTTAATAATCTGGGTGGCGCGCTAATCCTGTTCTTTTGAGGCGATGGACTAGGAAAATCACTAACATTGCTGATGTTGCTTAAATTCATATCGGGAAATAGCAGCTTGCGCAGCCTTTGTCTAGCGCGACTGTTTAGATTTAAACGATCTTCGATTTTTAGTAAATCACTATCGAGTGCTGCTGGTGTTTTATTTTCACTTCCCTTGGGAGTTAAATATTTTCTTAAAATTTTTATAGACATTGGCAAGTACAGCTCATCAATATTATCATCTGGCATTGGGCTATCATTCGTGTTGAGTACTTTGCTTAATTGATCGGACAATACACTGATGATATCGTTGGTTTTATACGGATCATCCTATGATTAAAAAAATAAAATAAAAATAAATTTTTTAATTACAAGTTAACATATAAAACTCACCGGTTCTTTTTGAACATTAACATTTTTTTTAGGAGTTTCAATAATACTGTCTTCATCAGTTTCATTACACGGGTCCATTATTCTATTGACTTGGGTCATAAGGTTAATACATTTTGTTTTCAATACATTATCACGTTCAACATCACTTGGCCTTAAAAACTTTTTATACTTGTTGTACTTCTAAAAAAAAAAAAATTAAAATACTTTTAGAATAAGAATCAACCATGTATTAAGTGTGACATATATTTTTGGTTTTTTACTACATTCGTAATGTACACAACACACGTTTACTATTCTTACTAAAAATATTCGCCAAAATATTGTTTATAATTTACCGGAAGATTAAAATCAATATCCGGTGTCTTTTGATATTTTTCTAAGTCTACTGGAGGATAATTGACTGGATCCAACATCATATTAGCTAACTTGCTGCCTTCAACCCATCTTGCCGATACAAGAGGAATATTACGTTCAATGGCTTTACGGTAAGTTACACGAGATCCATCTCTAAACACGACATGAGTCACCTGAAAATTAAATTTGATTATAATTACAATTCACCATCAACCTGTATTCATAGAAACATTGTTATTGATTGTTATAAATACAAAGTTAATTAATTACCTTGCGATTAAAAGTTTTTTCAATTTTTGCACCCAGTTCGGTGAGACAGTGTTTAACACCCAAACCACTGCGATCGTTATCTAATTTATAGTCAACAAATGCTACAACACCTAAAAAAAGAAATATAATCAAAATATTATTATGTTGTTTTCTGCTACTTACTCTGGAAATAAAAATGTATAGTTAAAAAAAATACATTGCTTTCAAATATTGTTTAGTTTTACTAAAAAAAAAAAAACAATGATAATAATTTTGTAAGAAAAAAGTACAGCGTAAAAGGTATTATTTTTGTTTTTACATGCTAATCAGATTTTTTAGAAATAGAAATGTAGACATCTTGAAAAATAAAACGCAATATAAAAATAGTTATATAGAATATAGTAAATACTGTTTGTTTTGACATTCATTTGTTTTTTATATATAATAAAAATCATGTTAAATACATTTTTTAGACCTACATAAAAAAATATAACAATGATGATAAGATATGTAAGCCGGGTAAAATGTATATCAACTATACGGGTTCGCGAGCGCGCTAAACATTACATTCACACAACAATTCTTTGATGTTTTGATGCACCGACAAAGCACTAGACATTGCCAAGAATATGTTTGCGAACGCCATGCACAGCAGTGTTAACTTAACTTTAATTTTCATATTACGTTATGACAATGTTTTAAAAGATTAAGAAAACAACTACTTCATTCTAGATTTAATAGTTTTGAGAGAGCATATTTTAATTTTAAAGTATAAAAAATTTGAAATTTGTTAATGAATTAGAACGAAAAAACCTTGTGTAATACATAAAAAAAATTAATTAAAATTAACAATTAATAGGTAGATTTAATAGATTTAGGTAGATTAGGTAGATTTAATACCGTTAACTCAATACTATAAAGCAAATTTAACGACAAACCTTCTAAAACTGGAGGCGACGATGAATTTCCTTTTTGGTGATGAGGTATTATCTTTTTAACTAGGACAGGACTTTCTATTAAGTTTTGAACACCGCTGACATTAAGACTGTCTGCCGACACGACCGATACGTCACTCGGGCTCTGAGTATGTCCCATCAATGAGTAAAGTTCCATTTGCGCTTCCTTCATTAGTTTAACAATCCTCGGTGTCGGAATAAATACTTTTTTCTGTTTGATTACTGGGCTCTCCTCCATGATCTCTTCCCAACTGTACTTTTTTCTTTTACGCGATGACGGTGTACTTGTATTAGTTATGTTTGTAATTACTGGACTGTCGCAAGTATCGTATCGTATGATATCGCCGAAGAGGTCTCGGTGTTCTTTTAGTGGAGAATTAGAGGCTTCGACGACTTCCGTCTGAGAATCGGGTATGACAGATCTGTCTGATGATAATTGATCAAAAGACATTTCAAAAGAGTCATCGATGGCCAGTTTGCGATTTTTCCGATCGCTTAGGCGTTGTAGAGCATCGCGAGGATGTATGGTGCGAGCCGACATCGTTGATTCAACTGTAGATTACTCACAAATCAAGTAATAGTTATAGTCAAGTCAGTCGATAGCATCGATTTTATACTAATATTTTAGTATAAAGTCTATGGCTGTCGGCTGACCAGCAAAACAAATCGGTCATCACTCAACAGAGGTAGTATGATATTACCATACTATAATGTACTATGTAGTAATTTTGATTACACACCGTTTCGAATGATGACCGACGAGTCCGTTAATTTTGAACAACATGCGTTATCAGTTCATAGTGATAACAGTGTTTTTGTTCCATGAAATTCGACCGCGGTCATTACAGCACTAATAATTAGCTATTTCCCGGTTAAAATTTAAAATAAAAACAAATTTGGCTTTACAAATAGTTATTGAACAACTACAATGTAAATACTAATCGAACTATCTGTTTGCATTTTTTATGTTACATATATATATAATGGAGAGAGCAAGGACACGTCACATCCTAATAATCTACCAAGAATAATATACCGGTCTTCCGTGTATTTATGTATAGAGGTACATCTCATAGCAACACATTTAAGTATACTTTTTTTTTTTCATCTTTCCAACAGGTCCACTCCGAATATAGTAGATTCAAAATTAAAAAATATATGGTAAAAAGAAAAAATGACATCATCTTCACAAGTTTTAATCAAATGGGCAAAATAGCTTTTGAGTGACCTTTAAATATTAATAATTCAAATTGGGCCGTCCTGTGCCCTATAGTGTTTATATTATGTTATAGACACGATGCTAGATTACATACCAATCGTGAACTAAAATTATGTAATTTGGGTAAATTGTTTAGTTAAATTTATTCAATTAAATGTATTTTGTTATAATCGAAGTATAATTTATCTATTTTAACCCAAGTACCTACTTAAATTGATATTAAATAGTAAAATGTTATCACGTTAAACGCTTTACAGAAATAATACATTTGGATATTTAATGAGTTATTTCGATAGTCAACACGTTTTCTTTAAGTCCTCAAATTGAAATAAAAGTCAAGTAAATAAATGTCAAGTATTAAGATTACATCATAAATGTGTTACAAATTAACCGCCAGCAGTCATAAGTATCGCTGTAGATATTGTGGTTTGTGTATTATTGTCCCTATAACATTATTTTGCTGAGAAAGTCGCTATGGCTAGGTATACCCTATAGGGCATAGGCTAATGGCTCTACAGCAGCAGCTGTAGCAAGTATATAAAAAACAAAATAACCCAGAATGAAAGATTGACAAGGTACTAGATAAGATCAGCACGTCAGTCGGGCGAGCCTATGTGAGAGATAGTAAATACTGATTAATTATTATATTTTATTCATACAGTGCTAAATTACCGTTAACAGCGATAAAGGACATTTGGTTTTGTATAAATTTTGTTCGTTCAATTAAGCCAATGAGTAACACTGTGGAAATCGAATGACGTAGGGGAATGCAATGCAGTATAATTATTACCGATTTGAATATTATTGTACTAATACACAGTGTAAAGTAGTTGGAAAATATATTATTATATATTTAAGTTTCACAACCAAGCGGCTGTTTGATTTACAATCTAATATTGTACTAAACCCGTCTGAGTAGACAAACCGTACCACTGTCGTGTCTGGTTTTGGAGTTGCCCAACTCGGTTGTTTGTGTTGTTTTTATTGAATTTTGACACGATCTTTATTATTGTTCTAGGGTTTTTATTACAAGCGCACATGTCCAGATAAGATAATGAGATATTGTATTGGAATTTCGTTCAATTAAGCTACTAGGGTTTTGAATGGGCGTGGTCGATCGGATCGATATAAATAATATATTTAGATATGTCCTTGCCCCCGGACACCCCTACGCATCGTGTGTATACCTATTTTTCATTTAGCATAATTAATTGGGTATGGCCGGTACATTTCAATATGTAGGTTTTGCACAAACCGACATAATTGCCGCATTGTCTCGGTTGCGATTGATTCTAACTTCTAAGTTTCCAGTAATTCAACCAAGAACACGTTGTATGTAAATCAGTTAGAAAATTAGACAGTTAGGTATCACTATTATAACGTTTTAATGTAATTATTATGTACATTTTTATGTTATTGTACGCAAAAAACAAAGTTTTGGACACGTTCTAAAATGTCGGTAAGACCAACGTGCATGAGATTCCACAGTATAGAACTAAAGAGATGTGCAAGGTTTTGATGTACATTATATTTGAAAAGTCGTAGCAATTTCTTCCAACGAAACCTAACGTTTTTAACAGCTTGCAAAATATGGTAATTACTATTTAATGAAGTAATGACCTAAAATAGGGTTACGACGTCGGAAAAATGATACTTTTTATATATATTTCTACATTTATTGAGAGTTATTGGTGCACAAGGATTAAATTTATTTAATTCACTCTGAAATTTATATGCAGATTGTATGTATATTTTTAAGTCGTCCCCAAACATTAGACATTTGAAGTGGTTAAAAATATTTGGGATTTCATTAACATTTAACATACAATAAGACTTAAGAATAAAATGGGTGATAAATGACCACCTTGCGGTACACCTGGAGTAGTATTAATTATGTGGAAAATAATGACTTAATAGATATTATGAACGGACTATATAATCGGACCAAAAATATTACTGATAAATTAAAATAATTAATAATTGTCGAATAGTGCATTCAGTTATGATCACTAATTTATTATCCATTATTAATACTAGAATTATTATACCCATAATTATCATACTTCAGGCCGTGAATTGTTACAATGTTATACTGTGCACAAGATGGCCATCACCGGCCAAATCATGTTATTTTCGATGGGTAACTGAAAATATATTGTTTTTATAATGATGTGTTTTTATTATTTTTTTGTGTCTGAAACCACGATATCTTCTTAACCGCTGAACCAATTTCTTCGTGTAGCAACTCTATAAATCAGAAATCGTACCCGAAAGGTACTTTTTAGGCTAAAAATATCTATTTTCCTTTAAAAAACGAGAAGAATACCCATTAAATGTACACATTTTTCAGCATAAAATTATAAGTTTTTAAGAAATTAGTTACGAATTTGTATGAAATATCCTATAACCAGGTAATGCCGGCAAACGTTGACAAACCAAACAATTTTTATAAACCCTCTACTCCAGAAAGGGGTGCAACATTTTTATTTATTTTGCTAGTTTAAGAGATGTTTTAGGGTTTAAGGTCTGCAAATTAGACCGAAGGTAGATCTAGGGTAGGACAACAACATACAATTTTCCCAAAAATCTGTAGTCAAACTTTTTTTTATTAAGAAAAACCCAGAAAAAAGGGGAATATATTATTACACTTGGGCCGTTTTAAATTTCCAGGTTGTTATAAATACAAACATAAATTACTATTTACAATAATATACACCTACTTACCATAAGTATATAATAATAGGATTATTAGGAAAGTATCATTAAAATGGTCCCTGCAGTCGGCCTATGTATCGCTTACAAACAACTAAGCGTACTTATAATACAGAATGATTTATGTAATTTATATAATTCTTATTTAATTCATTTGAGAAGAAATTAATGCACGCGTAAGTTCACTCCGAGTGCTTAATTATTTCAACAAACGTCGTTAGTTGTTTAGAAACTTTAATATTTACCGGTAGCAAAAAAAAAAAACTGTACCCACCCACACACAGTTGACTTCGAGACAACAGGCGTCAACCCATATGAAATCGATACTATGTATTATCGTTACTGAAGCATTACTCTACTAGTACATAATAATGTAATAGGAAACTGGATTAAAATATAGCATCCTATTAAAACGGGCTGTAATGGCGCGCATGATATATTTATCCGGAGGACATATGATTTGTAAACCGATTCGGGGAGTCGTGTAAAAGGTTTTTTTTTGGTTTGAGCTTTTATATTACATATTATATGTCGGTCATTAGCGTATTTCAATTTTTTTTTTTAACAGTTTTACAATCATTAGCCTATGGTCTCCGAGGGCCACGGACACCGCTGAGTTAGGAATTCGGTATACATGCATGATACATGATACACTATAGTATTACCTATTGGCCAGAAGCGGACCTTGGACTCTAGTAGCGGTTTCAGTTGCACAATATTTGTCATTAGCGTGCATGCATAATAATAATAATAATATGTGGGTGACATGTGTTGTTGGGCAAACTGTAATCTGAATAATGAGTAACGATTACGGTTAGTACCTAATCTATTATAATCGGTATTCATAATATTTAGTTAATATAACTTCACTACTCACAAAAATACACTGTAATATATAGGTATGATGACAATAATAATTAAATAGTAATAGTGTATGGTTAAAAATTAATTTTGTAACTAATTTTGTAATTAATTTTAGGTACTATAATATTTAACTGAGTCTTTCTAAGGCGTAAAGTGTAGGCAATTTTTTTGCATAATTTTAATTCAAATGTTAAACAGCTGTGATGGGTAATTATTAGTTCAGTTATTAGGGCTCTTTTTTTTTTGTAGTTAATTAAGTCTTACAGTTATTTGAAAAAAGTAAAAAGATGTGATTTTAATGTTAAATATTAGGTTTATTAAAAGAAGGATAATGTGACATTTTCTCCAAAATTTTGTCATCTTTCGTTATTGTGATGGGTTTAAATCGAGTGTCCTTTTAAGCCAATAATACTATAGCCTTTCCCAAAATATTTAAATATTTAATTGAATTTGTATGTAAATCGTGTTTACTTATTATATTATAACCGTGTTTACTTATATGTTAAGCCAGCACTAATTACAAGGCTTTGACTAAATGCATTAAAATAAGCCTCCTCAGAAAAAGTATTATGATTCAATATATTATGATTGTCGTAACCCATTTCATTAAAAATTAAGATTATTTTATTATTATGGTTCTTTTTAATATAGCACAGTAGAAAGACAGATTGGTTGCAATAATACAGCAATACTTTCACATGTTTGAAAGAAAAAACGAGCCACTCATAAACAGAAGACATTATATTATTATGATTTATTTAGTGTATTAATATAATTATAGTAATGAGGGATTTGGCATCGGTTATTAGAACAAAAATAATATTGTGTAGGTATAATACTTTGTAGACGATATATTGTATAGGATAATTACATAATAAATAAAAAACGTTATTAGGTATTATAAAAATGATGTTTGAGAAAATGTGTTAT